ACACAAGGCCTTAAGTGGGGAACTGGCCACAAACCCTCAAAAAAGGAGCAGCTCCTGCCCCTCACCTCTGGGCATCCATTCCTCCTCCCTCCCCTCAGTGTTCTTAGGGAGCTTGAAGGACCTGCAGGACTCAAAGTACATCTCTGTCCTACAGGTTTACTGTTCCTGGGATGTGTCCCATCTGCACCCCACGGGCGAGAGGAAGGAGGAGAGCGTGTCGAGCGCTGAGGAGTCCCACCGAGCCCTCACCTCATCGAGGAGCCATCAGGAGGACCCACCCAACCTCCAAAAGGTAGGCATTTGTGGCTTTTTTTTTTCTTTTTAGCAAAATACAGCTCATCCTGATGCACTCCACGACGGCACCAGCGAGTCGGCGACAAAGAGACGCAACAGACGGACGGAGACCCAGACATAAGCCATGTTATTGCTCTACTTGTGCCACGTTATTGTTCTGTTTGTGCTATGTTATTCCTTTTGTAAAGCAGCAGCACAGCACTACAGCAACGCAGGGGCCTTAGCAGAGATCCAAAGGGGGAGCAACAGGAGGAAGAGGGTAGATCCGTGGTGTAGAGCAAGGTTGGACACTGCTGGTTGGGGCTCGGGGGTGAGCCAGAGTGCTCACTAAGAATCACCCCATGCTGGTCACACCATCAAGGACAGGGGCTCTTTGTCCGTGGGAAAACAGTCTTGAGTGGCTGGGGAGGAACAGGACAAGATCCAGCCAGAAAATGTCATCCTGGAGAAGGGACAGGCCAAGGAGAAGCCTACTCGGTCTTGGAGAAGCCATTGGATGCCCCTTGGTCTTTCTCTCGGAGCTTGCGCAGGTAGTCGTGGGGCCCTTTGCCCTCAAAGGACGTGGGGCTCTTGTAGGAGCCCCCAATCTTGTCCCAGAGGGTGAAGTACTGCCCGTAGTTGTAGTCAAAGTACAAGTGGTGGTCGGTGTGGTGTGCTGAGCCGTTGATGACGTGGCGCAGGAAACGAGGGACGCGATAGTCGCCGTCGTGGATGGAGATGGTCCAGACGTTGACGAAGATGTAGAGGCCCAAATAGGTGACTTTGTGCAGGGGAAAAAGGAAGGGGTAGATGTGGTAGGGCAGGCTCTGCATGAAGCCATCAACGGGGTGGAAAGCGTGGCTGGCAAAGGGCGTCGCGATCTTCCAGAGGTGATGAGGCTTGTGGAAACGCTGTGGGGAGAGGGTGAAGTGTCAGTCAGGCTGGGACCTTTTAGGGGGTCCCTCAGCCACATTCACCACCCAAACTGTCACTGCCCAAAGCTTGGAGAGGGACACATGCCCTAATGGGCTCTCAGCTCCCATTGCATTGTGGAGTGAAGTGAGATAATACCTCGTTCAGCCAGGCCAAGCACATGTTCCCTGGCAGGAGCAGCTAGGACACAGCTCCAGAGTGGGGCAAGGACTCTTGTCCAGAGCTCACTGTCCTCTCTCATACCTTATAGAACAGCTTGTGGTGGAGACCACGGTGTATCCAGTAGATGCCCATGTCAGTGAAGAAGAGGAAGGACAGCATGCTGAGGAATACTCCAGACCAGCCTGGGGGAACACGGATGTTAGAGGTGGCACATGTGGCCATCAGGAGGGTGTGAGGGGCAGAAGAGGTCAGGGAGGTGCAATGGCCCTTGTGGTGGGAGACATGCCTGAATTTCATTGAGGAGACACAGGGAGAGGTTCAAAGTCTCCTGTGACTCAGAAAATGAGTCAAGCTGGTTTGTTGTAAGCCATGCCCAGTGAAGGGAAGGAGCTCTTTTATGGAGCCAGGGAGTATGCCAGGCAGCAGGGTGTGACCCTGAGCCAAGCTGGGGGTACAGATGCCTCCTCATGTCAGCCTGGATTTTCAGCTAATAGATGGAACCATCCTGGGGCAGGAGGTCCCCACAAGGATTACCTGAGCTCATCAGGAGGAATGGATGGCTGAGGGAGGTGACTCAGGATGTGGGAAGGGGGTTCTGGCCTGGCAGGGAGGTGGCTCACCATAGGGAGAGTCCTCAATGTTGTCATAGAGCTTGCTGTAGCCTCGCACCTCGGCGAAGAACAGGGCGACGGTGGGCACACTGATCCAGGGCAGCGAGCGCAGCGCGTAGGTGATCTCCCTGCTCACCTGGTTCTGCAGGGGGGGACAGAGGGACAGCAGAGAGAAGTCAGGGGGAGAGAGCACACTGAGAGCCAGGCCCACACCTCAGAGCCCCAATACCCCCAGCCCCTCACCCTCTTGGTCAAGGTGCCCAACCTTGTGGGCACTTTGTCATGACATCTGTGTCATGGTGTGGTGCTCATCTGGGGAGAGCTGTGCTCAGGGCAGGACGGTGCTAGGTGCTGGGTCTAGAGTGTTGTGGTACCTGTTTCTGGTCAGGGACTGACCCAGAGCCCTGTGTAGACAGGGCTGGGAGAGGTGGCTGTGCCATGGCAATGGCAAGGGGGACACTGAGAGTGTGGGGGTGAAACAGCAGCACCAGGTGAGGTACCAGGGGGGTGACATGGGGTGCACCTACCTCTAGGAACTGGGGATGTTTCTTGAGTTCGTGGTCAAAGATGAAGTAGTAGCTGAGGGTGCCAAAGAGCAGGTAGAGAGTGAGTGCCCCCAGGTTGGTGATGACGAAGAGGCTGAGGAGCTGGCGGCAGGGCTCACCCTCAGGCCAACCCGTGGGGTACACGTAGGGGGTGAGGATGTGCTGATCAGCAGCTTCTAGGACCAGATCCATGGTGACCCCTGTGGGAAAGGCAGGAGGTTGGTGTGACAGATCACAGAAGGGTTGCAGGTGTCCCTTGTTTTTCCAGCCCATGTCCAACTCTGGGGCAAAAGGTCTGAACAGTACAGGAGGTGCCTGGCAGGGTGCAGGTGGAAAGATTTGGAGGGGAAGTCTGCCCAGATCACCTTAGCTGGGACTGGGAGGCCAGTCCAGGCTGTGGGTGTAAGGCACAGACCATGGAGGGCACAAAAGTGATGTGCTATTGCCATGACAAGAGGCAGGTATGACAGGATCCAACGCGGGGACAGCAGGATGTGGGTTTT